AGAAGGGCACTCCCTGCCTCTTAGTCAAAAATATGGGAAAAGGGTGGTAAACTTTCCCCTCAGCCCGTGATGGATTTGTGGTCCATATTCTTATGACATGAATTTGACCACAGCCCCTGGGTCTGATGTTCCTACCTGTTCTTATCTTTCTTTCCTGTGTCTTGCTTTGGTCATCTGTGTAGCTCATCAGATGCACTCAGCTCTACCTGTTGATTACAGAGAGGGCTGGCAATGGCATCTTAGGAGAAAAGAAGAAAAGTAGGGCTGTTAGGTTTTGGGTTGTTTTTTTTTTTCTTCATCTTGTTTGGCTTTCTGAAGGTCTGAAAGCTCCAGGAGGTGCTAGCGGAGTTAGCTAAACTGTGAAAGAGATCAAAATCAAGAAGCCAAATTTACCATCCTACAGGGTTGCCATTCCCATAGTGTGCAGAAATACCTTTGTGCAGGTTGTTAGCTGCTGGGGCAGCACTTAGACATGTGGGATAACCTGATTAGAGAATCAAAGAAAATCCTGTTAGCTCTACAGGCCAAATCCTGCCTTACAGCCACCTGATGTCAAATGGGTATGAATCAAAGGAGCTTTCCCTTTGGCATCTTCTGGTAGCACCTCGAAGAGAAGGGTCTGAGCCAGGGTTCTAGCAAGGAAAGAGGCTTAAGCAAATATACTCCCAGACAGGGAGTGAGCTGGAGTCTGCAATTAATGACTTTGTTTTTCCTCACTGGTACAGACTTGGAAGGATGAAAAGAATAAATTTCTCGGGTCTGATTTTCAGGTTGTAGAGGTTTAATCAGGAGCTGGTTAATTTAAAACGCTTGTCTGTCTTAGCTGCGAGAAGGTCAGTGTGACTGAGCTGAGATTTGGGAGCAGAAGACGTGTTTTCTGAAGGCAGAATCCATAAGAGTGATTACCTGCTGTCCTGCTCACTGCAAATCTTCCACCAAAGCCAGTGTTAATGTGAGATGTCAGACAAGATGGTTGTAATGATCTTTTTTGGTCTTAAACTCTGTCAGAAACATGTGAGTAGCAATTCTGTCAGATCCATAGTGAGAGCATTTCCAGGCCTGGCTGTTTGGTGGTAAATCCCTTTGCAGGGTGGATTGTAGCTGCAGGTTTCTGCTCTGTTCACAGTCCCAGGTAGGCTGTGCTCGGTGTTGTGGTCTGGAGCACTGTTACGTGGGCAGTGGTAGCAGACCAGGGGAAGTGCTTAGCAGGTCAGACCCCAACGTGTAGGTAAGCCGTGAAGCTCCTAAACTCCTGGCTGTGTTGTGAGTGCTCAGTTTACCTGAATTAAAAAAGTGATCGGGAGAGTTCATGGGAGAAACATCAGCTTGAGGTGTAGTACAGAGGAGACGAGCTCTAGCTCAGGAAGTCCCTGAGCCAGAAATTGCTGGAGGCTGGGAGCATATCCGAAGGAACTGCTGTGTTTTGCTTGCCCTGTTCTTATACCTTGGCCTCCGTTGTTGGCAGCTGTTGGAAACAAAGCAAGCAGTGACTTGATGAGGCAAATGCTCTGTACCTGCACATATTCAGCTGTCATAGCAAACGCCTTATGAGTGGCACAATCTTCCATCAGTATCTGCAGGTATGCTGGATTCCTTCCTTGGCGGTACAGAGGACAGGATGGATATGGACTGAAATGATGTGATCTGCTTATGCAAAGCAAAATGGTAAATTTGCTAGGTTATTTCTCCAAGGAGAAAATTATTGACCTTGCTTTTTCTGGCATACCAGCTACTGTTATAATGATGATGATGGTGACAGCAACCAGACAGAAAGGCCAGCAATAATTCTTTCCTGCCCATTATTACAAGGCATAGAGCAAAATCCAGCCTGAAACCAACGCTAGTCTGGCTGTGCTGTCTTTACAAATGTGTTAGGCAGTTCTCATATGGGTTGCAATTCAGGACTTTTCATATTGACCTTTCCAAAAACAATCCTTTTGATCTTCAAATATGAACCTGTGTATTTCTATGTTTGTATCTTACAAATGATTTGCAGCCCAGAGATAATGTCCGATAGCAAACACGTGAGTGTAGAAGTAACCTCTCTGAACTCCTGGGTGATTCATCTCCTGACAGTACATTTTGGCTGCACATGTAAGGGCTGGATCTTGCCCCTGAGAATATTGGCTCAAAGAAGCAATAACAATGTGGTCAGTCAAAGCACTACTTTCCCTGGGAATTTTGTTGCATGAGGAAGCAGAAGAACTTTAGCCTTCCTGTGTTTGTCAACATGGTCTGCCTTTCAGCGGCTTTTTATATTTCTGTTCTATTAGGTTTTTTCCTTTCTTTTTTTCCTCTCTCCTTATTTCTGTCTATCTTAATCATAATCCATGTTGTAATCAGACTTTCTACTCATCAAAGATTCAAACACAGAATCATAGAATGGTAAGGGTTGTAATGGACCTTAAAGATCATCTAGTTCCAACCCCCCTTGCATGAGCAGGGACGTCTTCCACCAGACCAGGCTGCTCGGAGCTCCATCCAACCTGGCCTTGAACACTTCCAGGGAGGCGGCATCCACAGTTTCTCTGGGCAACCTGTTACAGTATTTCACCACCCTCATGGTGAAGAATTTCTTCCTAATATCTAATCTAAATCTGCCCTCTTGTAGTTTACAGCCGTTCCCCCTTGTCCTATCACTACACACCCTTGTGAAAAGCCCCTCTCCATCCTTCCTGTAGGCCCCCTTCAGGTACTGGAAGGCTGCTCTAAGGTCACCCCAGAGCCTGTTCTTCTTCAGGCTGAACAGCCCCAACTCTCTTAGCCTGTCCTCATAGGAGAGGTACTCCATCCCTCTGATCGTCTTCGTGGCCCTCCTCTGGACCTGCTCCAACACATCCATGTCCTTCTTACGCTGGGGGCTCCAAAGCTGGATGCAGTACTCCCGGTGGGGTCTCAACGAGAGCGGAGTAAAGGGGAGAATCCCTTCCCTCAACCTGCTGGCCATGCTTCTCTTGATGCAGCCCAGGATACGGTTGGCTTCTGCAAAGCACACATTGCCGGCTCATGTTGAGCTTCTCATCCACCAGCACCCCCAAATCCTTCTCCTCAGGGCTGCTCTCAAGCCACTCTCCGCCCAGCCTGTACTTGTGTTTGGGATTGCCCTGACCCACGTGCAGCATAACGTTATTTGATAACACCAGATGCATCAAGCAAGAGTAGTAGGTAAAATTTTCTTTCCAAAAGTCCATAAAATAACCCAAATCATTGCCACAGATTTATTGTGTGCCTCCGTCTGTGTGGGTTGCATCCTCCATTCATGGCATGTGTCTTTTAAGGTGCTTAGTTTGAAAGGGTAAGTTGCGCAGTTGGTGTCAGCTGGTATGCCTCACAGACAACCATCTGAAGCAAAATTATGTTGTTGTTCCTATACCTGACTGCAAGGATGAGTGAGGGTTGATATGAAATGAATCATTCAATGGACCCCACTTGAAAGGCGGGGTTTTTCGGCTCCAGCACTTCAGGAGCAGGCCAGTATGTAAAACCTGTGTGGCAAGGAGCATGGCCTTAGAGCTGGCATTTCACAGTCATTATCTCAAACGTCGTGGGCTGGAGATAGATGAACAGTTTCAGTCATCCTGAACTCCTGTCCTTGCGATGCTTTCATTGCAGACACTGCTTTGTTCTCGCTCCAGACTCAACAGTAGTCTCTGTGGTGGGAGAGGAAGATTGAGATTTTCTTACAAGGCAGATAAAGATCCTTTATGGGAGCTGTGTTGGTTAGGGGATCTCTGTGTAGCCCCAGGAGTTTGCGCTTCAGCTTTGCACTGCACACTATGGAGATTGTCTCTAATCAGTTCAGCTGCAAAAGGTCATTCAGACTGGGCAGTCCGGAGGCAAAAACCCAGGAGTGCAGGCTGCAAAACTCCGTGTGCTCTTGGCTACAGAAGCTGCAATGTCTCAGACACACCCACTGATGGCCCATCTCTGATCGCTTGTCAGAGCTGCTGAGAGAAGGCTCTGGTTTGTGTTCCCACACTAGACTAAAGACCTGACCCAGGCCCTGCACTGTTATCATACCCTTTGTTGACTGTACTGCATTTGCCTAGAAGAAATGAAAGGAAAGTACCTAAAGCTTCTAAGTAGACCAGCAGCAGCCTCCAACCCAGATGACCTTTTTAAAAGGTCAGTATGATCTATTTTGATCTTTGCTGGAGAGCTGGGTGCAGAGGAACCTGATGAAGTTCAGCAAGGGCAAGTGCAGGGTCCTGCACCTGGGGAGGACTAACCCCATGCACCAGTATGGGGTTGGGGCTGAACTGGTGGAGAGCAGCTCTGTGGAGAGACACCTGGGAGTGCTGGTGGACAACAAGTTGACCATGAGCCAGCAGTGTGCCCTGGCTGCCAAGAAAGCTAATGGGATCCTGGGATGCATGAGGAGGAGTGTGGCCAGCAGGTCGAGGGAGGTTCTTGTCCCTCTCTACTCAGCCCTAGTGAGGCCCCATCTGGAGTACTCTGTCCAGTTCTGGGCTCCCCAGCTCAAGAAAGATGAGGAGCTACTGGAGAGAGTCCAGCAGAGGGCTGTGAGGGTGATGAGGGGACTGGAGCATCTCTCCTGTGAGGAAAAGCTGAGGGAGCTGGGCTTGTTTAGCCTGAAGAAGAGAAGGCTGAGAGGGGATCTTAAATGCTTATAGATATTTTCAGGGTGAGTGTCAAGAGGATGGAGCTAGACTCTTTTCAGTGGTGCCCAGTGACAGGAAAAGGGGCAATGGGCACAAACTGAAGCAGAGGAAGTTCCAGCTGAACATGAGGAATAACTTTGAGGGTGACGGAGCACTGGAACAGGTTGCCCAGAGAGGTTGTGAATTCTCCTTCTCTGGAGATATTCAACACCCACCTGGATGCGGTCCTGCAGAGCCTGCTGTAGGTGACCCTGCTTTAGCGGGGGGGTTGGACTAGATGATCCCGAGAGGTCCCTTCAAGCCCTTATCATTCTATGATTCTGTGTAAATGTCCTCCTGAGATTGTGCTCACATCTGTTGTGTGTGTTTTGTTTGCAGAACACACTGGAGCAATGCAGCGTCTGTGCAAAGCCCATCATGGAAAGGATCCTCCGAGCTACCGGGAAGGCCTACCATCCCCACTGTTTCACCTGTGTGATGTGCCATCGCAGCCTGGACGGGATCCCCTTCACCGTGGATGCTGGTGGGAACATCCACTGCATCGAGGATTTCCATAAGTATGGCCCAAGCTACTCTCAGTGGCTTTGCTCATTGACTTTCTCTCTTGTCCCTAAAAATCCTCCTTTTTACTTCTGAATGTCCAGAAAGATCTGAACCCTACGCCACTTCCTCCCAAGGCTCTTAAATAGTAGGCAGAGCTTTGCTTCAAGCAGACGCACCGTGGCATACAAGATTAATTGGTTAGGAACCAGTGCTGCTTGATCACGGTTTTGCTTAGATCTGAATTTGTACATAATCTTTTGTGTTCCTCTGTTTTAAATGCTCTGCGTTCCCCTCACCTTCCCCTGCACTCAACATGTTCACGTTTCTCCTCACTATCTGTACATGCGCTTCCACATCAGCATCTCCCCCGACTTCCACCGAGCAATTAAGAGAGGTCCTGTACTGTTGCACTCTGCAGGTGTTTGCTTACCAGCTAGAGGGATCTAGGTGGCCACAGGATGCTCACAGCTCCTCGTGTTTCTAGTTGCTAATTAGCTTTTTAAAGCTGTTAAAAGTATGGCCCTGGTAATAATTTATAGTGAAACTGCTATTTAAAGTAAGTTGAAAGGTATAGTAGCAAGTAGTTTCTGTCACTGCCATGATACCACCCCCATCATCACAACTAATCTAGGGAAGACAGGTAGATATAATCAGAGCACAAATGTTTCCCCTGTATGGAAAAGACAGGCACATTACATCCCTCAATTAAAAGAGGAAATCAATACTGACAAATGTGAGTTTACATCTCAGCCATTTATCTCTTAAGTCTAAGAGGGTAGACTTAATTAGAGCCTTGTGACATCAGTGTGTGGGCCTGAAAGCTCAAAGAAGCAGGCTGACTTGACAGAAAGGGAAGCAGCCACCATCAACTGGCATGTTAAAATTCAACATGAGGATGTTCCCTGCAGCTCAGATAGGCTGGGTTAATTGGCAGCTGCTGTGTTGCCTTGCTTTTCTGTGCCAGTAGTTGTGTATGAGGTAAAATTTGGTCCCGAGCATAATCCCAACAGAAGGCTTACACACTGCTCAGGCTCCTGAAGGGTTTTCCTCACACCCACTTCCAGTTTGGAGACTGCTCTTTACCTAAGCCCCAAGGGCCAAGGGCTCACATGTCTGCAGGAGTAAAGGTTCGGAACATGAGCTGATGTCCCATGTTGAAGTCCCTCGGCAGTGACTGGGTGTGGACCTCGGGGCTCTGAGAGTGGGTAGTGGGAGGCTGTCAGTCCGAGGAAAGGATACAAAATTGCTGAGTGAAAGACTGAGGGGAAGATGATGGGAATAGCACGAGATCTAATGTGACCCTCAATGTCTTTGGCCAGCCACAGATTTAGCAGCACTTCAGCCAGCCCAGCTTTAATTCATAGAATCATAGAATAGTTTGGGTTGGAAGGGACCTTTAAAGGTCATCTAGTCCAACCTCCCTGCAATTGATGAGGGATAACAAGATCTCCTGGTCTGGAGGTCGAGTGCTCTACATTTTCTACATCCTTCTTGATAAGGATACTGTACCTGATGCTCAGACTGTCACTTTGCTACCCCCTGAGCTTGGGCCCTGCAGGAGTCATCTCTGGGTCCTGGAAGTTAATATTTGGCTCATAATGAATTACCCACAGTGGCCTGGACAGAGGAATATTGAAGTATTTTTAAGCTCCACATTTGAGCTAAATGGCACAAGGAAGAGCCTGCATGAAGCAGCATATAATTAGCTGCGATTACAGCTCTGGTCATATCATGATCCATTTAAGTTATTTTTCAGAGTGTTCACTATAGCCACTGTTTAATTCATTTTTTCTTTAGATCACAGCTACACAGACATCTTTCATCTGCTGCCAGTTAAATTAATATTTTTCTTTATTCCTAGTACAGATTGATTTTCTTTTTTTTCTTTCTTTCTTTTCGAAGCTAGTTAATTCTGAGGTGGTTCATGCGACAGGCTGGGTGGCACAGTCAATCTTTCCTAGGCATTTCAGAAAAGAAGGGCCTTTGATCTCCTTGTGTTCTGATGTTTGCAATAAGCATTGCCCTCTGTCACTCCATAGCCTGTGACCCCAGCGCTCATTACATGGCAGCAGATTCTGTAGGTACAAGTTTGTTTTTTTTTTTGTGAGCAGAATTTGCAAGCCGGGAATTGGTACCCATAGGTTTTGAACCAAAACAGCAAATAATGATTCGCCGCAGGCTAAATGTTCTCGGGCATCCCCACCTGCCTGGGATCAGAAATGGCCACTTCTTGTAGGCAACTGGGGGGAACAAAACAAGAGCTAACACAGAACATATATGAATTAGCCAGAAGGGCATGCGGTGCGCAATATAAGGGGAAAAAGAAAGGTCTGTGCTCCTCTTGATCCCTGAGCTGACCAAGCCAGTCCCTTCACACAGTGCGTGTCACTGTACAACTCCAACTTGGGCTGACTGTGGAAGAGAGAGCATTGGTGTCTCTGCATCAGACCTGTTCCCTTTCAAGCCCAGGCAACCCACTAATGGATAACTGAGAGTTAGTTTTAGTTAGAAAATGCAGCTAGTCAGAATTGCCGTGATGCTTCTTGTTTGAGAGTGAGCACAGCCAGGGGCATGCTCCTGTGTACATAAATGGGAAAGATGGCTCAGAAGTTTAAAATGGATGGGATAAATCTCAACAGATTAGTGTAGTGTGTGGCAAATCTTTACCACTCTATTAAGACTTTTTCCCTATTTGTTCCAATCTCCAAATTTTGATATTTTGATTATTTTTTTTTCCCAAGAGATGCTCTTGAAGTAGATCCTGGTCATCTTTCTAACCGTAGGATTTGGGTGGACTTTGAGTTAGGCTGGGGGTTGAGCCTGAGAGTTGCAGCATTGCATAGGTGTCATGTTTGTGGATCGTTTAACAGACACTTTAGTTATTAATTAGGGCCAGCAGAATACACTTTGCTGCCTGTCAGGTATTCCTGAAGTCCTCTCCCAATGGTCTGCAAAGTGCTTTTTAATTTCCTGCAAGCCTGAAATTGCATTGTAAGACTAAAGTGCTCCTTCCTGTCTTCTTTCTAAGGAGGCAGCTGTGCAAAGCTACAAAATCTGTGACGTGTGTACATACATGGAGGCGTGTTTGTACAGATGTACACAGCTCTGGCTTGCTGGTGCAGTTAACAAAAAACTTTGGTCCGAGTTTGAAAATGACTGGGACCATCTCTTCTTTCTTCAGGAAATTTGCACCGAGATGTTCAGTGTGTAAGGAGCCCATCATGCCGGCCCCAGGACAAGAGGAGACTGTACGCATTGTTGCCTTGGATCGTGACTTCCATGTCCAGTGCTACCGATGTGAGGTTAGTATTCTAATCGCATGAAGGACAGAAAGCAAAAGTTGGCTTAATTTCATCACCACCTCATGTTATACACAAGACAGGCATACCCTATTGTAACACTGGCTCTGCAATCAAATTACTTTATTGACTTCAGCATGCAAGGAATTTTTCATCATTTATATCAGTGCAAATGAGGAGAAAATCAGGTCCCTTGTTTATAACAGGTTCATCAGGAGAGCAAGAGAATGTGACTCAGGTAATTAGGGCTTAATATTTGAGAACTTCATAAATTATAGCTTGGACACAAATGTTGCTCATGTTTATGTTCCTAAAATGAAAGCTAATGCGTGTTAGAATTTGAGCAAGATTGTACAGGAAACTCAACATATGGTTCTGGGGTGAAGAATTTTAATGGACACATAAACATGATCGTTCTTGTTTTGTGCAGTGCTTTTTGTGCTATTTTCCTGTTCATTTTCATTACGCACTTCATATAATTTTGATGGTAAGAATTTGAAGATGGAGAAGAAAAATCACCTGAAAGCAATTCACATGTGGGAAGAGCTGTGTTAGGGAACCTTCAAGAATTGTTCAATGAGAGTGTTACTTGTTGGATAATACATCAGCCAGATGGCAGGGTAAGAAAATAAGACAAAATGTATTTATTGCAGTTGCAGGTTTTAATAACTTTAACTAGAAAGAAGGATGGACTAAGGCTTAAAGGTCTAGGCTGAAACTTGAGGCATATGGTTCACTTCTCAGCCTGACCTTGGCTTCCAGGATATATATCAGCCTATTACTTAGGCTGTGTTTTTTTTAAAGATGCGGGGACATTCCTACACTAGGTTTTGTAGAGCCTAATTTGTCGTACAGCATGTCCTCGTGCTGGCCTCTGAGTTACCTAGGCTTCACACACATGAATGTCAGATGCAGTGGAGAGCTCAAGACACAGACACTCTCTTGACCTTGATCTCCATGTGCCTCAGCTATCTCAAAAGGAACAACAGTTATATTCCTCTTTTCCCCACTTGCTTGTATATTTACAAACACAGATTTACAATGAGGAGACATGGCCGCTAAGCAAGCTGCAATCGCAGCACTACAGCTCCATCAGCAGTCTTGGGCCAAGTGATAGCCTGATCACACAGCAAGGGATAATTCCGTCCTTTCCTAGCAGCTATACTTAGCCTTATATACGTAGAGACTGAGGTCTTTGGAGCAGGTTTTGGGCCTTTTAGTGGGGTTTCCATGTGCTTGTCTCAGTGATATCCTCCTTTTAGCCACAATCTGTTGGGCCAACAGCAATACACGCACAGGTGACAGTTATGGCAAGGGGAGACAGGCAGCAAGTTTGCTTAACTGTCACTCCTGGAATGGATGCTATAGCTTTGTGGTGTTAACTCTTCCAAAGGAGATTACCTGTAGGCAGATATCGATCCCAAGCTTCCTTCCCAGTGATGTTTCATTTGTATCCTTTTCTGCATTAATAAATATGTGCTTAAGTTTGAGGTTTTCTCCAATGCTAAAGACCCTTCCTTCCTTCAGAAATGCAAAGAGAATAATCTCCTTTTATTTTCAATTGGATTAAATTCAGCAGAGAGCTTGGGAACCCATCTTCTCTGCAGCATTGTCTCTTATCAGGAAATGGCTTAATCGTGAAAGACATCACGTACCTCAGCTTCATGCTTTGCGCTGACTCAGGCTGGATCCTGTTACAAGGTGGAGAGTGAGGAGAGATTTTCTTTGACTGATAGATTCTTTGGTTAATCTTGTTCTTCTTTCTTATTTACTTTGCTCTTTCTGGTTGCTTATTTCTTAGGACTGTGGTGGCCTCCTGTCTGAAGGGGACAATCAGGGCTGTTACCCTCTGGATGGGCACATCCTTTGCAAGACCTGCAACTCTGCTCGGATCCAGGCTCTGACTGCCAAGGCCAGCACTGATCTCTGAGTATCAACTGTGACCCACCCCAGGATGCCAGTTGGGGGATATTGCACAAGCTTTGCATGATTTCTTTACAGCCTAGGGTCTGAATATCTGTTTTTTTTTTTTAAAAAAAAAAAAAAAAGTAAAACTGGAAGGCCTTGGAACAAGAGGGCAGTTTGAGAGGCCATGTTCAGACTGCCCATGACAGGCACCTAATTTAGACACGACTTTTCGGGAGGGTAGCGAGTGAGTTAGACCACTTGCTGTCTCTGCAGCTGGTGGAGATAAGTGGTCACAGCACCTAAGTTATCTGCCTGTAGAAGGAGGTCTGAACATGGTCCTAACTATACTTCTGTGTTTGATTCCTGTCTCTGAAGAAGTACATGAAGGTAGAAGTTGAAAGATGGCTGAGCTAGTTCATCCTCCCAAGTTATTCTGAGAACCTGATCAGCTGTCACTGAAGCTGTGGGGAGCTTCCTTTTGATTTGAATAGAATCTGGATCACTAGCAGAAGTAGCTCCACTGCCCTAGAAGTGTGCGAGCAGACCTAGCACTCCTCTCATCACAACACAAACAATGCAACTTCAAATGTACTGCACCTAAGAGTGTAGGTGTGACCTTGCATCCTTGGGGAACAGATTTGTTATCTATACATTTTGTCCTAGGCCCTTACTTGTCTCCATTCCCTTCCAGTTTAGTAGGATTTTTTTCTTTTTCTTATGAAATTATATTTTGCTATTGCATTAAGTTTATTCGGTAGTGATGCTTCCAATTCACAATGTATGAGCAATCACAGAAAGATGTGAGCTTGCACACACTATACACTACACATACACACACTGCACACACTATACACTACACACACACTCTGTACACGCAATGTGCTTTTGATTTACCAGAGGTATAAGCCAATCATGTCTGTCGAGGAGGTCTTTTAAGGATGTGGGGCTAGAGAGACATCTTTAAAATCCCAGTGGTTAAAAAAAAAAAAGGCTACACAACTGCAGTGCAAAGCGATGCTCAAAAAGATCTTATGCCGCTTTCTCACACACCCCAGTCTAGTGGGACCACTGGCAGTGTTGGTTTCTGGGTAGACATTTAAGCAATAGGGTCCTGTTCTATCTCCTGTGTATTGCAACGGGACGATTTTCCTTCAACTGTAACAGGGATTGGAGCAAGCCTTGGGATATACATTTCTCTAGTGTTAACACGCATGATCTGGAGTTCTCATTAAAAAAACTAAAGAACTTATTTCAACAACAGCAAGAAGGATCCTTCTAAATACATGCTGTTGTTCAGCTTTTACCTGAAAAAGCTAAAGAAGGTATTAAACCCTTTTTTATGCCATTCCAAAAAGTAAACATTTATTTCTTCTTATTTCATTTTCATCCAAGCCACTTATAACTTCTCTCTGGTGAAATGTCATTGCAGAAGAGTTCTGGGCCAGCAGCAGCATTTTCATCTTCTATCCAGAATTAAAACGTATGCCAAGGTAAATAAAAGCTGGGCACAGATAATCTTTTTTTCTCATGTTGATGTTTTGGGTTTTTTTTTAGTTTGATTAATTAAGAGAAAGTTAAAAAGTTAGAAATCCACAGCACTCTGAACAGCTATAATATTCTTGTTCATGAAACCCATAATAACTAAGGTGCAAATTACATAGTGAGGGAGTAATTTTCATATCACTGAATTGACATTAATATCTTATTTGCAGATGTAATCAAAGAAAATACCTTTCTTTGCACTTAAATTAAGAAGCAGAACTGAAACAGTTGCAGGCTGATGGACCATATAAGTGACAAACTGGCACTTTTCAAGAGTAAGGTATAAGAATTTTTTTCATGCAACCCACTGAAAAACAATAAGAATGTGGTGCTTTGATCTTTATTCTGTATAACAGAAGCCTGATATAATTATACCCACTAATACTGAAAAGAAAGGAAAAGTTACGTGAACAAGACCAATAGGAAACAAAGAGGAGAAAATTGAGATACTCACTGCAGCTCGTGGAAGTGGTGCATTTCCTTTCAGTTTAGCACTAACCTTTATGGAAGAGCACTGTGAAATTTTATAGCTTTAGCTGTATACAGTAAATGCAAATACAGAAATACCAGTCTGAGACCTCTGTTCCTTACATGGTTTGTACGTTGGCAAACTCCACCAGTGTCAGGAAGATTCCCAAAATTCACAGCTCAGAATGAATCCTTCTTTGTAGAAGGGTGGCATCGTTAAGCAAAAGAAATCTTTCTTCACCATAGTGGCTGTGCTGAAGCATTTTGCCTTTTTACACTAGATTTCTACCCTGGCCTTCAAGAATTTTACTGCCTCAGACGTAAACAGGGGTTTTTTTGTGCCGTGACTCCTGCCAGGTTCCATCTGGGCTCCTGCTCCCTGAACTGTTGCACATAAGGTACTTCTGAACTCACTTCTTTACATGCAGTCTGCACCACCACCAGTCAAAAACCCCTCGCAACTATTGAACAAATCCAGTTTGAACTAACCCTACAAAAACATGAGAGGTCAGAGCTGGGATTGCTAACACATTGTATCCCTGTGGAGGATTTTACGTCTCTGCATGCACAGGGGAGGATGTGATGCGTTCGAGTGCAGAATACATTCATCAGGCAGCAAACATAGCTCTGATCTTCCTTATTCTTGTTAGTGTTAAATCAAGCGGCTGATGAGACTCTCCTGAATAACACTGGGGTATTTAATGGAAACAAGCTATTGTGCCATCCTGCAGAATGTGGCCTGGACTAAAGAAGACTGAAGTCCAGAGCCTTTGGGCTTTTTATGGCCCTGCCATGAGCTGGCTTTGGAGCAAGTCATATGACTGCTTGTCTTCTGCCCTCAGCACAAGAGCACTTCTTTCCAGCTTCCCAGGGATGTTATGGGAATTGGATTGGCCCAAACTACTGATTTTTGGAGTTCTGTCTTCTCTTTCCAGAAAAGTTTGCTGGTATGTAGGTTTGGGATTCCAGCCTATTTCAAAGTTGAGGCCCAGCCAGTAGATCTAGATCTGAATCCTCTGTGTTATTAGGGTGCTGTGGTGAGTTGGGCTGGCGTGCAAGGAGGTGAGAGCCAAATTTTTCAAGTATTATATACTCCATGGATAGAAGATGTTTGACAAAGATTGAGCAGTGTTGACATTTGAGGTACTGTGGCTAATTTCTAGACCTGGCATCTGGGCAAAGGTTCTATCATGCTTTTGTTTTCACTCCTGAAACACCAAAGCCATCTGCCTGTTGGAAGAAGTGAGCATCCAAAGCACTCTTCTTTATTTTCTGTAATACGTGTGGGTTTGGCTTCTAAAATTGCTATAAATGTATTTGGAAGATATTGCATAAATGTATATACATTAGAGGCTCTCACGGGCCTGCATGTGTATGGAAATCTCCCTTCTGATACTTCAGGATTTAATTAGGAAATGCTAGTGGACTTACCTCAATTACACTGCAGTTAAGAACCACTGGGATATTGCTTCATCACAATATTTATCACACATTTATAATATGTCCTGTTTTATCTGTTCCAAGGAAGGAGTCTTTTTGCCAAAGAGACCTTGCTTTTCTTCAGGTGCACTTCTTAGTCATGATAAAAATTCATGTCATCTGTGGCTGTGGTAATGTCCAAACTGTTCTTTTCAGAAAGAGTTGGAAGATCACACAGACATTTCTGTTCAAGTCTGAAGAGCTTTTGCTTATGCTCCTTTGGCTTTGTCTAGCATTTGTTGGCAAGCAGGGCCTGATCCCATGATTTTTGTGGCCAGACGGGGCCCAGGAGGGTCCAGGATCAGGTTCTAATTCAGCAAAATATTTAAGCCCTTGGGGTTTGTTTAAGCACAGGCTTAAAGCCATTGCATGGTGTGACATAAGCCGTGGGTCTACCATCATTAATACCAGACTGATTCTGTATCGCCCAGTCATACAGATTTGATCTGGGCAGGATGTGGGCACAGTCTAATTTCTGACAAATTCCCCAGAACACATGAAATGTCTCCTGCATTGCCCTTGTGCCAACTGCAGGAGGGCACCCGGTGCCTGATCCACCGCAACGTTTGAACAACTGGAGGATGAGTTGTTAAAAGGTCAGTGTTTCATGTTGGGTAGCTGTGGCCCTTCCATATGTCACAAGTAGCCCTACAGCCAGATTTGCTGTATCTTTGAACCATGGCTTTAAAACTGCTTAAACTTTCTCCAGAAGATTGCGTTGCCTTGGTTACAGCCCAATCCTTAAGCATATCCCCAAGGCTAATACTAGTGTTTTGTGAATGTGATGGTTTTATTGTCACTTATTATAATCATTGTCTGAATGTTGCTTTTAAAAACAGAAAGCAACACCATTGCTTTAGCCTATCAGATAATGCCCCTTTAATTTTGTTTTTGGTTTTTTTTTTAATATTTTAGTTCTTAGATTTTTATGACCGCTGCGAAACACTTGGGTAATGACTTAATTATAGAGGTGTGGGAGTATCAAAGTGTTTGTCATAGTGAACTCTACATAACAGCATTCAGCCTGATGGCAAGAGCAAGACTATCATGAGACACAGGCCATGTTGACTTCCTGCCTGTCAGCAAAATGTGCCCGAGAAGAATGAGAAAGAGGTGTTTTAGAGTAATGGTGGTTGTTGAAGAGAATATGCAACAAGTCATACTGAAATCTCTTTGAACCTCTTACGGCTGTTGCCTGGCCATGGTCAGCAAAGACTAGCTTAGGTTTCATAAATGCTGGTTCTTTTTGATTTTGAGAAAGTACAGCAGATGAGGGATAACAGGACCCGAGAGAAGGTTCTTGAGGGAAATCCTGTGTCTTTGCCTTGCTTCAGCATCAGAGAGAAATGTTAGACACCTGGTGCGTCAGCTGAATGGCTCAGAAAGGATTTGAACTGTGGTCTGTTGATACCTGGTTCCTGCACTTGGTTCATGTTGATTTGCTATTTGTTCACTGGGTTCGTTTGACTGCACGTTGTACAGACTTTGATACTGTAAGTCAGGGCTAGCAGAGAGAGATGTGCTGAAAAACCT